CTTCTTCTTCTTCTTCTTCTTCTTCTTCTTCTTCTTCTTCTTCTTCTTCTTCTTCTTCTTCTTCTTCTTCTTCTTCTAGAACAACTCAGCAAAATAAAATTCTGGTCTGTTGCTGAACATTGTTTTACACACACATCAAACAGGTCAAACAAACAAACAAACAAACAAACAGCAACTTCATGGACAAACAAAGGAAGAGGAAAAAACCCTTTTATCTTTGGCCTTTTTACCCACCTCAGACAAACCAGCTACTTAGAGTACACCCCAAAAAAGTTGCTGGAGTGCTCAGAATAAGTTTTTTTTTTCTCCTTTGAGATTATAATGAACATGGTCACACCACAATAAGATCTGAAGTAGGACAGAGAGCGCTCTGAAGGCTGGTTTGGTCACCCGTTATCATTAAAAATGGCTGACCCCTAACAATATGTACAAAAGTATAAAATGTAAATAAAAAATACAAACAAATTTTCCTTTTAAAGTATTTTTAAGGAAAAAAAAAAGCAGGGCTTTGGAAGTTTTGGTTCTTTTTTCCTCCCCTGTTGCAAATTCATGTGGTTTTGGTGGGGTGGTGGAGAGCTCATGTCATGTGTGGGTGACATTACCCGCTGTGGGCGGGCGGGGCCTGCTCCTCTACTCAAAGGTGACCACGTTTAAATTCTGAGACCGGAAGTGGAGGGCGAAAAGGTCACGGTGGCCTTAAGTTTAGCTTTTCCTTTTTACTGTCTAGTCATCCTCATCAGTCTTCTGCTTCTTGGCGTCAGCATCAACATCCTCATCATCTTCAGCTACCCGCTTGCCCGTAGAGGCCTCAGCCTCCTCATCTTCATCCTCTTCCTCCTCCTCAACTTCCTCCCCATCTTCTTCATCGACCTCATTGTCAGCCTCCTGCTCCCCATTCTCCTCATTAGCATTCCCATTGGCAGGTGCGTCTCTTCCATTCTCCGCCTCCTCCGCAACTTCCTTCTCCTCCAAGTCCTTGGTGGTGATCTCGGAGCTGGTGTCCACGGGCGCGTCCGACACCTTGGGGCACGCGGGTGATGCGCTGCAGCGAGGGAGCGAGGAATCGAGGTCCAGGACTCTGGTGAGAACGCTGTCCTGCCGGGGTTCGAAGCGGAGGAAGAGGCGGCTGTGGAGGTGGCTGCAGCCAGTGCGGAGCAGGACCCCGGAACAATGCAAAGATGGCTTTTCAGAGCGGCCAGTGGGACAGTCTCCCAAGTTTTCTAAAGCTCCTTAGGTTGGCTTTGATTTCCCCCATGCCTGACGGTGCTTCTTGTAAAATTATTTCTTGCCCATTTAGTTGGGAGTAGTTATGGCTGACAGTTGGTCAAGGAGTCTTTGAACCATGAAGTGTCTTTCAAGTCATGCAAGAGCGTTTCCAAGGCCTGGAACTTGGATGATTCTTAGATGGTTTGGTAAATTCGTATGTACTATAGTGCAGTGTAAAGAGAATAGGAAGAATCTTTAAACTCATGGTAGATTTTCTTCGTATTTCCAGTAAAGTGTGTCACTTGAGGTCCATTCAGGTGTTTACTGAGAGGAAAACAATTCTAAATATCTGGAACATGTGTTGAGAAAATTATACCAGATAACTCTACTCTGTGGCTTCTCATGAGAGTCAGCAATAGAAGAAACCTAGAAGACCCGGAGTTCCGGTGGGCTAACCATGGCCCTTGCTGCCTCATGTCTGGGTGGGAGAGCCTTGAGAGTCTCCCGTCCTTAAAGCCTCTGTTCCAAAGCAGAGAGCATCTCCATCCCTGCTTTCTCTGAGGACTTCTTCTTTGCACAGTGTGGTAACTCAGGAAAATAATTGTCCAGGGTAAGTGAACTAAGTCAGCCGTAGAAGTCTGCTGTCTCTACTTGTTTTCAGTGATCTAGGCTCTTTGGCAATCAACACTTTAGTGGTTAAATTGTGGATCCTTTTACGGTTGGCCTCATGATTTCAAATGTTGCTCCTTGTACCTCTTGCCCTCCAAAGCCTTTGCGGAGTGCCGTAACCGGAGCCTGCCTGTGTTTATGAGCTGGGTCCCTCCCAAAGTCCTCTCATGTCCCCTTCTATCACTTTATTGGTTATGGAGTGGTTTTGCTTTGGTGTCTTTGAGAGTGTGTTTCTTTTACTCACCAAAAGAAAAACTGAAAGAAAAAAATTTATAGAGGCAGAGCATCCTTTGCCTCCCTTTTCAAATCCTCTTTGCAAAGAGGGCGTCTGAATGAGGAAAAGCTTGTTAAAGTTTAATTTTCCTCCTCCCTGGAAGCAGAACTTGGCCCAGTGGATGCCATTCTTTTCGGTGGGCTGCTCATCCTAAGGATGCCCCTTCCCGAAGTGGGGAGCTAGGGCAGGCAAAACAACAACAGCCGCCACCACCACCACCACCACCACCACCACCACCACCACCACCACCACCACCACCACCACCACCGTCAGGCCACAGCAGGGCTGCGTGCAGGCAGAGCACTGCACTCTCCTGGTTGGTTCTGTGTAGGTGGAGAGCTAAGTGGATGCAGAGGGAGCCCTCAGCTGGCAGGGCTAGCCAGCGTCTGCGGCTCGAGCAGAATCACCAGCTTATTGAACAAGCTACTTCTGTACAAGGCAGCGCCCATCTTCCGCACAGTGGGAATTGTGTACGAGGGTCCTGCGGCCACAGCAACAGATGGCCATGGCCAGCTGGGAGGCTGGGAACAGCAGGTGCGCATTCTCTCAGGGTTCTGGAGGCTTGAAGGCTGAAATGGAGTTGTGGCAGCCAGTGTGAGTCTCTGCTGCTCTTCACCCTGTCCCATCCTCTCTCTCTCTCTCTCTCTCTCTCTCTCTCTCTCTCTCTCTCTCTCGTGTGT